AAATATAATATTTTATTATTTTAGTTTATTATTTAATTAGTTGATATTATATAATTAGAATTCTAATATAATATGAATATCATGTAATTAGAATTTTAGTAGAATAGTTATTTTCTAATTAATAGGTTAAGAATTTTATAAATATCTCAGGTATAATAACATAAAGGGTGATAATAAAATTATTATTATTTTTTAAAAAAATTAACAGGTTCCAAACTGATGTCATTGAACGAGATAGAGCCACTAGTCGCCACTCTATCTTCTCCTAACCTGTTCTTATATTCATAATATATTTCCTAGTTGCGAAGAGCAGCACTGCTTGTGTTTCTCTCCTCTGCTCTTTCACTGTGCTGGTTTTTACCAAGCCCTCCATCAATGGTAGCATTCCATCTCTCTTTTCTTATCTTCCTCCAAACCTAGTCAGCACTTCCTTCATCTCTTTCCACCTCGTACTGTCTTTTCCTTCTGTCATACATAATTTGAACTTCCGTCAATTTTCATTATTTTTTTTTTAAATAAAAAATGTGAAATATTGTATTAACATGGTACCAAAACGGGGGTACCACCAATGTACAAAAGATTTACACAAGAGTTAGAGCATCATTGACATTATTAAAATACACATCACTAATCATGTTATGACCTAACAAGATGGTCTGAAAAAAATACAGCCATATATCTTTAATGCGATTTGAATAACTAATTTTATCCTAAAAAACTCTCAAATTTCGTTCTTTTCAGATAACTCAAAAAACAATTAATGGAATAATGTTTACAATATTTTTTTTTTTACATATAACCCATCCCAAGCCCAAATTTCCTCGCGGACAGAACCCGACACCACCCAATGAATCTCTAATAACCCATAAATCCTATACCATAGGTCATGAGCTACAGGACACTGAAGCAGTAGATGATTACAGGATTCCTCAGCCATCAGACACATATAACACCTGTTTACAAGAATTTGTCCTCTAACTCTGAGTTTATCTATTGTGAGAATCTTCTTCCAACAGGCTTCCCAAGCAAAGAAAGCAACCCTTAGAGAGATATTAGTTTTCTAGATCTGCTTGTAAGGGAAGTTCCGGTGAACCACAGTAGGATCCTTCATTAAAAAGTTGTAGTAGGATCTAACCGAAAATCTTTCAAACTTCTTTAATTTCCAAACAAATTTGTTAGGAGTTAGAGAGATTTATTGTGATGATAACACCTTAAGAATTTTCACATAATCACTTATTTTCAATCATTTAAGTTTCTTACAACATTTATGAACCAATTTACATTTCTATTCGACCGCTGGTATGCATCTTTAATGAGCATTTTCTTGAATTAGGCGATAGAAAAAGTTCTTAGAAAACAATTTTTGAAACTGCCATCCTTCAACCACTCATCAGTCCAAAATTTGATTTTATTATCTCTCCTCAGCTTCCATTGTGAGCATAGGCTGAACTGAGGCAATTGAGTTAAGATCTTCTGCCATAAGTCCTTGCCATGTGGGGTGGAGAGTCTACTTCTCAGGATCTTATTGAGGTCGCTCCAACGAGTCTCCACAATCCTCTTCCCAACCTGTTATCCTCATTTATGTACTTCCACAACCATTTGTTAAGGAGGGCATCGTTCATTTTCACCAAAGATTTGATGCCAAGTCTGCCCAGACAGTTGGACATTTTAATGTCCTCCCACTTTACCAAGTGGTACTTGGTTCCCGTCATCATCACTCTAGAGGAAACAACGATGAATTGATTCTAGTCTCTTGGCCATCTTTGCCGGTATTGTTAAGGATTAAAAGATAATATATGGGAAGGTTGGCCAATGTGCTTTTGATTAAAGTATATTTTTCACCATTCGAAAGGAAGTTACGCTTCCACCTAACAAGTTTCCTTTCAAATAATTCTAATATCAGCTCTCAAGAGGAAGTGTCTTTATATTTAGACCCCAAAGTTATTCTCAAATATTTCATGGGAAACCTAATCATTTTACACCCTAACACCCTAGCAAACAAATTTGCCTCCCCATTCCCACCAATCCTGGCCAATTTAGACTTATCGAGATTAATCTTTAAACCAGATACAACCTGAAAGCAAAGGAAAACATATATCAAATTCAGCAAGCATCTCACATCTAGTTGGCAAAATATGAGCGTATCGTCCGCAAAGAATAGGTGAGACACCTGAACCGCATGATTCTTTTTACCTACCACGATCCCACACACAAGTTGAAGGTCAACAACCCAAGTTAAAAGGTCATTTAGAACTTCTATGACAATGATAAACAATAATGGGGATAAGGGGTCACCTTGTCTTAAATCTTTGGATGCGCCATAGAATTTGGATGGTCTACCATTGATGAGCACCGCAAACGAAGAGGTGGACATGTAGTGTTTCATCCAAGCTTGCCATCTTTGGCCGAACCCTAACTTATTAAGCATGTAACCCACAAAGTTTCAATTGATATGATCATATGCTTTCTCCATATCCAATTTACACAACAGACCATCTTTACCCCTAACCATAAGGTCATCCACAAATTCGTTAGTAGTCATTACAACATCCAGTATTTGTCTGCCTTCCACAAAGGCATGCTGACATTCCCCAATCAACTCGCTAAGCACCCTAGACAGTAATTTTGCCAACACTTTAGCAATCAATTTTAGATGCATCTCACTAAACTTATAGGTCTGAAATATTTGAACTCTTTAGGATTCATTTTCTTTCAAATGAAGACAATGATGTGGAATTTAGAGATCTAATAAATTTTTCAGTTTTATAAAAGTCCTTAAAAATACCCATGACATCATCTTTCAATAAGTACTAAAAAATTTGGCGGAATTTCATATTGAAGCCATCAGGACCGGGAGCCTTTGGTGCCGTCACAAGATTTTAAGCAGCCCTCCACTTCTTCTAGAGAGAATTCCTCCTCCAGCATACTGGAAGTATTCTCGAAGATTCTTTGAACTGCAAGCCATCGAGGGCAGGCTGAACACAGGCCTCCTCATTGAAAAGCATAAATAAGTGTTGCCTGGCCGCCTCCCTTAACTTCTCATTGATCGAGATCATCCTATCCCCACACCAGATTTCATCAATAAAGTTACAACCTCTTCTATGGGTGACCAGAACATGAAAATACTTTGTATTGTGGTCACCCTCAGTAATCCACCTCTCTCTGAATTTCTGTCTCCACGAGATTTTCTCGTTTTTCATGGAAGAGGCTATCTGTAACCTTAGATCTATCTTCTCGCACTCAACATCATTAAGCCCACCACTCTCTTCTTTTAAGTCCAGCTCATTGATCTCAACCAAAATAGAATCAGATATAACCGCTTCCTTCTCCCTCTCAATCTTAGACCAACCTTTGAAGTCATTTTTCAGTTCTCTCAACTTAGAAGCAATCTTGAAGCTTGCACACCCCCTGAACTCATAAATTTTCCATTTTTCTTCAACCATGGATCTAAAATAGTCATTCTCTAATCATTTATTGTCAAATCTAAAAGGGACAGGACCCCATTGGACACCATCAGCAATAAGGCATATAGGAAAATGATCAGATGTGGGCTGGGGTAAAGTTTTTTGAAGGACCCCAACAAGTTCTCTAAATGTTGAAGTAAGATTTGAACCATTGACCTTTTGGACCAACACCCTAATTTAACACTTTTCTACCACTTTGCCAGCACAACATATACATTTCTGTCGATTTCCATTACAACACAACAACACCAGAAATCTTCCCCCACTTTTTTGATTGATTTCTGCCAGCAGATATTCCTTTACCACTTGACAGACTAACTGGAGGGCAGATTATTTCCTTGGAGAGCATGTTGTTTAAGCTGTTCCTCATCCATTCTACTGCTTGTGTTTCCAACTCATCTTATAAGAATGATGGTTGATTTCCTCCTCAATTTTAATTTCTCCCTCATCCCCTTCTCATATCTGATGATTAATAGCCTTTTTTTCCACAACAAACTCAACCCTCAGTAATCCATTGAGCATAAAATAACATCCTAATTAAAGTCCAAGCAAAAGAAACAAACTTGATAAAATTTATTTCCTTGGTACTTTTAACTTTTCTTTTGAAACATGGGTGGAGGATAGGACTTGAACTTAAATAATTTAGGTTTCCTATAAGGTATAAGAGTGTTATGCTATCTGACTCTCTAACAAGTTTCCTGACAGGGTTCTCTTACTAAGTTTCATGTTTATAAGATCATTCTTTCTATTGGATTTTCTTTTCCATAAAAAATATGTTTTTCCTACCTACTTTGATAATTGGTTATATGGAAAGTTTCGAGAGAACATGTTTCCTGACTTACGTTGTATTTAATTTGGAAAGAATGTGGAAAGCTTGACAAGATCATGATTTATCTGAGTAGTCATGAGTTGTCTTTTTATGGGCATAGCGGATAGGAACTGATATGGATCAAATCCAGGTGTTTAGGATCATACCTTGGCTGATGTGCTTAAAATATATATTTGAGGTTTAGGATTGTTTTACCTTTTTTCTTGAATAGGTACTGATGTGGCCAAAACTTAGGCCGAGCTTAAGGGAAGTACCATCCTATCTGCAAATTTGAATTGTTAAATATTGCTCGAGGGAGGTGGCCTCTTCTTGTGAATGAGGAGATTTCCTCAACTCTAATATAGGACTTGGCAAATATTTTGTACACTTACACATTTTTTGGTTAGTTCTGTACAACAAATTTTGATGTGTACTTGCACACATTATGTAGTCTATCTGTCATGAGTTGCATACTTGCAGATGTTATGTAGTCTCTGTGTTACAAGTTGGATGTTCTTGCATATTTTTGTGATATATCTGCTAAAAACTTTTACCTATCTACCATTGTTTGATATTTCAGTTGATTACAACCAAATGAGAAATTAAGGGTATTTGATAGTTTCACTAAAAGAAGGTTTTTTTTATGGTTATGCTATGTGGTGCATGTGAAGTAATTTTAGTTGAATCTTGGTAATTCAAGATTTACTTTACCTTGATGTGCTTTTCAGTGCGAGGAGCTTTGGAAGGGAAAAGCACATATACCTCGCTTGTCACAGATCCCAAGATTATCGAAACTGGCTGCCTATTCATTATCTGTTGTGGATGGAAAACGTGTAAGTGATGATTGAACCGGCAAGATCCTTCTCTTTCTTTTTCAGAGGCACCTCTGCCTAGATGAATAGAGTTTTCGTGTTTGGATACTTGCACTTAATTTGTTTTCCTTTTCGTTGTCAGACGCGTATCACGAAGGACGATCTTTGTGACCATGTTTGGGTATTTCATTTTAACAAGGTATGTGCGTTTATACTACACATTTGTTGAAAAGGGAAGAAACTGGAGTTTATACTACACATTTCAATATGGGAAGTTGTTTAGATTCTATTCCGTACTTTCATTTTTTCCCCTGAAAATAAAAAGTTTATTTGCTCCTCACCTCATAATAACACGTTAATTAAGATAGAATGTACATAAATAAAAATGGTTCGCGTGAAAAAGATAATGGTTTATGGTGCGGCCATTTGGATTAACTTTAAAAGGCTGTCAGGAATTTGGTAGAATTAAGAGGTTAAGTTGAAATTAAAATAATAAAAAAATGACCTTAATTGTTTTTTTCATTAAAAGTTACCTATGTAACCTTTTATGAAAAAAATACTTGAAAAATAATTTCAAATAAAGTTTATGAACATAAGAATTTTAAGTAATTTATGAGTATCTTATTAGTTTTTGTCTAAAATTAATTATGTTTATTATATAAAAAATAATTGAAGTTATGAAAAGAAAAGTAGTTTTCTATTTCTATAGTTGTTCTCAATATAAGTTTAAGGTGAATTCAATTCCAAGTACTTAATATATCCAACTGAAAATTTCGGGTGAAAATTAAAGTGGTATTGTTCTATCTTTTAAGTGGTAGGATTCCAATTTTTCATTCTAATAAGGGGCATAGTGGTTCAAAATAATGCTCAACCAGGCTACGAAGTCTCTAATTATTTTTTGAAATAAAAATGAAAGTGTTATTATTCACAAAGGTTTTAAGGAAGTATCACCCGATTACAAAATAGTTACATATCAATTAAGTAATCAATGACGCCCCCCAAATCTTCCCAATCTAATATGTTATGACCCAGCAAATGAAACCAAAAATATGAAATCATCTATTCTTGATGTTTACAAAGTCCATTTCGATTCTATCAAAAGCTCTAACATTCATTTCCTTCCACACAACCCAAGAAATGGTAAGTTGAATCAAAAATAAATATTTTTTCTGTTTACAAATACCTGTCCAAGCCCACAACTCTTTATTTACGTTATCCGGCATAACCTATCTCATCCCTAACAACTTGAACACCGACATTCATAAACTGTGAGTAACCGGGCAAAATAATAAATTGTGGTCGCATCTCTCCTCATCAGCTTTGCATAAGTAACATCGATTAATAAGAATGTTGCCCTGCATCTTTAACATATCAATAGTCAAAATATTTTCTCTTGAGGCTTCCCAAGTAAAGGAAGTCATCCTATGGGGAGCTGTAATTTTTCAGATTTATCTAAATGGACCTGCCATATTATTCTCATTGTCCTCTTTGGATATAAAATTGTAATAGGACTTCATCGAAAACCCATTCTTCTCATCCAACTTCCAGATCCTCCTATCCTTCCGAACATCCATATTAATATCCAGTACATTGAGTAAATTGCAATATTAATCAATCTCCCAGTTCTACAAATTCCTTTTGACTTGTACACTCTACCCCCTTCCTCCACCAACATTTCCATGCACTTTATCCACTGTAATGTCCCTCTCACAAGCAATATTATGGATGTTAGGGAATCTGTTTTTCATTTTAAAAGCCCCCACCCATTCATCCTGCCAGAATCTCACCCTTTCTCCATTTCCCACCTTCCATCCCATACATTCCCAA